ACCAGGATCTTTTTTAAACGTTAACACTTGTATTTTTCACGCTGGATTGGAAAGCAGTAAAAAATAACTTTCTTTTTCTTAAAAAAAAAATCAATAACTTTGTTTTGGAACTCACAGTCAAAACTTAATTTCAGTTAAAACTGTCTGTAAATTAACGCTTGGTTGGCAACCATTCCGTTCTTTTAAAGCCCCAAAATGCGGAAGCCTAGAGCTACCACAACAATCTGACATTCATATCTTGGTTCTTTCGGTAAAGTCACGTAGAAGGGAAACAATAAAATAATAAAAATATAAAACAATAAATATTTGTATTATTTTGTTTCCCTTCTATGTGACTTTACCGAAAGAACCAAGAATATGAATACTTGCAGTCACGAAAGCTTTAAATCAAAATCTGACATTCGTATAGTATTTTTTTATTTTACCAAGGCCCACTGAGCTATATAGCTCTTTACAGAAGTGACCTGGCTACAAATGATAGCTCAACGAAGCGGAAATTTATAGCAGCCAAATACTCTACAACGCATGTTGTTTCAAAATGTGGAAGAAAGAACCGGAAGACCCAAAGACCATGGGGAGAACATGAAAAACTTCAAATATGCAGCAGGTGTCGGGATCGAACCCACGACCTCCTGCATACCAGGCAAGGTAGTTAACATCTCGCCACTCATCAATGGCTGGCCCCGGAGTAAGCTTTCGTAATCTCGTCCCAGCCTAACGTGGCATATCTCCGAAGGAGGATCAATCCAAAACGGTCAGAGACGTCAATGTCCTGCACCTCCCCAAAACTCTCCGCTATTTCTCGTCAAACGGTGGTATCAGCCGACTCTTCCTTGTCCTCCTCATCCACGGGGTACATGTGCCATGTAACACGCTCTTCGTAAAACTTGATCACCACCTGCAGAAAAAATAATCAGCGATGATTAGTCTGTTGCTTGGGTTTTGTCATATATCTTGAAATGTTTCGACTGGGTGGTTCTCTGGTGAAGTGTCGGTTTATAGGGGTGCAATAATTTGTCCCCTGTTATTTTGGTTTACTGAGAACCTGAATTTGAAGCCAAAAAGTAATCCGTATGTCTTTTATAACTTTGCTGCACTCCATCTCTCTCCCTCGCCATGTGTTCGTGGTTGTTGTTCATGATTTAATTTAAAATTCAGCTTCCATTTCTTTTTACTGTTTCTGAGCCAAATACGAATGCAAAAATATATCTGGAAATTCAGCCAAATTGGGAAGCGAGGGGACCAATCTGTGCAACCCTAACCCATTTCACAATCAGGTTTTGGAGTCAATCTAATTTCAGATCAACTCAAGCCATCATCATCATTCTCCATTCAGTCAATAAAACAATTACCACTTTGTGAGGGCTCTACAGTAATACCAGTTTCCTCCAGATGAAAACTATAAACTTTTTTTTCATTTTACCAGGTAAGGCCCACTGAGCTATATAGTTTTTTTCAGAAGCAAACTGATCACAAATGATAGCCCAAATTAAGTGGTTTACCACGTGGAAATTTATAGCAGCCAAATACTCTGGGTGGAGATTGACACGCGTCTAGGTCGGGATCGAAGCGACGACCTCCTGTATACCAGGCGAGGTAGTTAACATCTCTCCACTGCGGTACCCAGATGGACTGGTAAAGGTTTCATATTGTACTACGAATAATAATAATAAAAAAATAAGATTTCATTCAGGAGCACTGATCGTGGCTCATGATGAATAAACGTGTGCTCAAATAGATATTACACTGTTCCCCTCGTACAAGCCTGGCCCCTGCTTTGCAAGTGTACAAATACCACGAGTGACTTGGGACTGCCCATGGAAAGGACAACGCCACATGCCTGTATACAGGCGTCTGTCCACACGTGTATTCTGTACACACGCGTCCGTCCGCACGTGTATTCTGTACACACGCGTCCGTGCGCACGTGTATTCTGTACACACGCGTCCGTCCGCACGTGTATTCTGTACACACGCGTCCGTCCGCACGTGTATTCTGGACACACGCGTTCGTCCGCACGTGTATTCTGGACACACGCGTCCGTCCGCACGTGTATTCTGGACACACGCGTCCGTCCGCACGTGTATTCTGTACACACGCGTCCGTCCGCACGTGTCTTCTGTACACACGCGTTCGTCCGCACGTGTATTCTGGACACACGCGTCCGTCTGCACGTGTATTCTGTACACACGCGTCCGTCCGCACTTGTATTATCACCTGAGGACATTTCACGTTAGCTTCTTTTGCCGGCACCAAATCAGTCTCATCCAAACCCTTCCTGTAAACAGGAACAAAAAAGCAATAAGTGTAAAGAAATGCCACTAAAACGTTTATTTGATAGATTTTAATTTACTCAGTTGATAGTCCCATGCCGGTACCAAAGAGTATTGATTCCTGCAGTCACGAAAGCTTCAAATAAAAATTGAACCGCCTCTATGGGGAGGATTTCCACACAACTCCGGCATGACTTCAACAGAGAAGATAGATGCAAAATTTGGCAATCTTTGTAAGGACATTGATCAACCAGGTAAAGTGTTCACTGTTGTGTTGGCCGACTCTCTGAGTTGCATTACATTTCTAAGTTTGCTAGCTTTTTTTCTATCACCTTGTTCCATCTGTAAATTTCATTAGCTGACGTTTACTAGCCTTACGTTTGCTAGCCCTACATTTACTTGCAAATTCCATCCCTAGCCCCGCCAACTTACCCTTGGGTTGTACCCACCACAAACGTATATAACCTCTGGCTGCAGTAGCTCTCTCGCTACATTTCCTCCTGCCTCAGCAGTCCGCCTGCTGTATTGTTTCACCTGAAGACGATGGCTTGTGTTGCTATCGAAACGTCGTGATCTATTAGCTATTTTTCTATCTACGTGACTTTACCGAAAGAACCAGAGAGTACAAAGTCGTCTCTCACCACTTCATCAGAAACATGAGTTCTCCGCTGCAGTCCGTGGCTCCCACTATCCTCTCCGCCTCCAGTCCTCCCGCAAAGCCTCGGATCCTCTCATCCGCCTTATAAACACACGCAGCCACGTGCGTGTGAAGACAAGAAAAAAGGAACGAGACTCGTAATTATTATGATCGTGATAATAATTTAGCACATTTTGTATTCGTGACATTCTCAAGGCGCAAGGCTATTACGAAGGCGCGATCTTCACAGATGAGTATAGTCTGCCAGTAGGTGGCCATGTCGCGATGTACGTATGTGGGACTTCTTTCGCGCCGTACATAGCCAACCATGATAATCGGAGGTGCTCTGTGGCTTTAACCTAACAAGTTGGGAGAACACCGAGTAATAGTCTTCCCCTACTGCGAAACTACTGCAGACTATGGCGCTAAAACACAACACCTTCAAGACAGCCCTGAGCTATAAGAACGCGAACACCAAACGTGCAAATAATTTTGTGATGACAAGGAATGTTACTTTTAAAATCTGGCAATTTTTTACTGTGATGCCTGCATGCGTGGCATTCTCTTTTCTGAACGACATCACGGTATATTCAACGTCCACTGAGAATTAGACGGGAGCATAGTATTTATGGCTAATCCCGCACCTCCGATTGGCAAGGTTGGCTACGTACGATGCGAAACAAGTTCAACATACATACGTACGTACATGATCATCACCAGCCCTCACCTTGTCATCTTTCTTCTTCTTGGCTCGTCCGTCCTCCGAGCCGTTGAAGGCCACCGCCGGCTTGCGTTTGTAAGCCTCCACCCGCTCCTCGCTGCCTCCTGCTACTTCTCCTCCAAAGCCGCCACCATCTCTCGGCTTGAGCTTCAGCGAATCCAGGTAGTGGTTGATGAGCTCCGGGCAGTCCAGGTGGTCCTCGGGTTCCCACGTATTATCGCCACTGCTTGCATTTAGCAAGGCACACATTACACTTAATACAGCTCAGTCCTAAAGCGGACGTAACGATCCATTCATTCATTCAGTTATTCAAATCGATCCTTTACTCCCTATTATGTTGGGGGAAAAAACTATCACCCGCGCCACAATATTCCAATTGTGATATGGGCGGCATGTTTTCATGAGACGATGGCATTTCCATTTGGAACTCCAGTGATGAGGAGTGCACTACCCATCGTCAGAGAAAAGCACCAGGATGACTTATGAAGTGTCTGTCTCTACCTCTCGCTTTGTCTCGATCTCTCAATATCTCTTACTTTCACTTTGTCTTCCTGCGTCTCCCCGTTTGTCTCTTGTCGTCTTCCATGCCTGTCCGTCTCTCTCCCCGTCTCCATCTCCCTCTTGTCTCGTTACTTCCCTTTGTCCCACTGTCTCATGTTGTCTCCATTGCCCTGTTACTCCCTCTGCCATCCTATAACTCTCTGTCTCCTTCTTTTACCCTCTCCCACCTCTGTGTCACTCACTGTCTGACTCACTCCAACTCTTACTCTCCATCACTATATGCTCAAGGTAGGTGGTGTTGTTGATGTTGCTGCCATCATAGCATTCCTCTCCTGCAATCATGCCCTCCTCCCTTCCCACCTTCCACCATGATAGTGAGGTGACTACGACAGACCACGTTGCTCAAAATCTAAAATTTTCTTCTAATTCCAATTGATACGAAATTTTAAAAATGCAGTATTCGACTGAATCTCGTAAAGTAAGTAATATTATGTGCTCCACAAATTCAAACCCAGGGTATGAGCAGTGCAGGTTCAAGTTTGTTGAAGTTTAGTCATATAAACTAGGTCAGAGCTCAAGGGACAAAAATAGTCTCATTTGCATGAGTGACTTGTAAGTGCTCGGTCACTCTCACACCTCCGATTAGCACGGTTGGCTACATACGCTGCGAAAGAAGTTCGTGGGAGGGGAGGTATCAATATTAAATGATGATGTTGACGACGCTGTTATTATGCCCACTACAACACAACCTGGTCGTACGATAAAACAAACTACGAAGGTACACTTACTGTGAGAAGCCCTTCCACTTGAGCAGGTATTCAACTTTGCCCTTGACCACTCGCCGGTCAAGCACCTTCTCCACCACGTACTCCTCCACCAGACCCCCTGCGCCCCCTCCGCCTCCCCCGGCTCCCTCCCCGTAGAACTTCACGTTCTGCTTGCTCTTCCCCATCTTCTCACCGGGACGCAGCAGCGGAGAACAAGGAGGGAAAAAAAAATCATGCAAACGAAAGGAATTCTGTAATGCTCTTCAACACGTGTTTCTCCTTATAAAGTATGTGTATATGTACAGAGCCGTTTTGTCTCTCCACTGCTGGACGAGGACCTCCCCACACCTTGCAGGCTACGAGGGATATGTGACCACCACTGTTCGAATTAAGGCAGGGAGCACACACGTATGGCGAGATGTTATCTCCCTCGGCTGGTATGCAGGAGGTCGTGGGTTCGATGCCAACCCATGATATTTGGAGTTTGCATGTCTCTCTCTCCCCGTGGTTGCGTGGATTTCTCTCGAGGTCGTCTGCTTTTTCCCTCCACATTTAGAATCAACATGCGTTGAAAGTATTTAGCTGCTCTAAATGTCCATATAAGTCACTTCGTTGACTTATCATTTGTGGTCAGGTCGCTTCTGAAAAAAAACTCTATAGCTCAGTGGGTCTTACCTGGTAAAAGAAAAATAGTTTATAGTTTGATATAGCATAGGGGTACAAAACAATGGAATTTTAAGAGTAATTCGTTTATATTCTTAGCTCTTTCGGTAAAGTCACGTTGAAGGGAAACAATAAAATAATATATAAAATATATTTTATTATTTTATTGTTTCCCTTAAACGTGACTTTACCGAAAGAACTAAGAATATGAATTACTGCAGTCACGAAAGCTTTAAATAAAAAAAATAATTCGTTTAGTTCTGTATTTCCCTTTACTAGCCTACGACCTGTGTGTGCATGGTGGTGGTCACCCATCCAAGCACTATCCAGGCTCAATCCTGCTCAGGATCAGAGATCTGACAAGACCACGTGTATTCCAAGTGATTTAGTCAGAGACAGAAGGATAAATAAAGCCCACTGTCCAAAGAAGCCTCACCTGACTCCCAAGACTGTTAAGGAGGGTCTTGCCACTTAGCGACATTTAGCCAAGGAGTGTTGAAACCAGAGTACCCAGGATAATAAAACCCGACACATATGAGTGGCTAACACCCAAAAAAACTCCACGCAGATGGATTTAAGAATAACATTTGCTCTATTGCCGTCTCTTGACCAGCAACTTCAGAGTAAAAAAAAAAGTAGTCTCACTGTTCGGGTGACAGCGTACCCGGGGTAAAACAATTAAAAACCCAAGCATATGAGTGGGTAAAACTCAAAACTCCACGCAGATGGATTGAAGAAAAACATTTGCTCTATTGCCATCTCATGGCCAGTAACTTCAGAGCTTTAAAATCAAAATAAGTAGTCTCACTGTTTGGGAGATGGCGTACCCGGGGGAAGGGAAAAAAAACTCAAGCATATGAGTGGGTAAAACTCAAAACTCCACGCAGATGGATTCAAGGATAACATTTGCTCTATTGCCATCTCGTGGCCAGCAACTTCAGAGCTTTGAAAAAAAAATAAGTAGTCTCACTATACTCTTTGGTTCTTTCGGTAAAGTCACGTAGGTAGAAATAAAATAAAACAAATCACGACGTTTCTACCGCAACACAAGCGGTCGTCATCAGGTAAAGGGATGACGGCCGCTTGTGTTGCGATCGAAACGTCGTGATTTGTTTGATTTTATTTCTAACTACGTGACTTTACCGAAAGAACCAAAGAGTATAGTGCTTCCTGCAGCCACGAAAGCTTCAAATAAAGCAGCCTCACTGTTCGGGAGACGGCGCGCTGCGATTGGCTCTGCGGCTCAACGTCGTGGCCCAGCGCCACGGACGGCGCCCAGTCCGGGTGCGTGAAGTCGAACAGAGTCGACGGCTTGCCTGCAACGGGGAACAAAACAAGAAGACACCAACAAGCAACATCGTGAAACAACAACAAGCAACATCGTGAGACAACAACAAGCAACATCGTGAGACATCGCGCGTGCGGATTCGTTCTGCGATGCTCTCCCAACATCCATTTGCAACTCGAAATGATGGTCCATAAAATAGTTTTTTTGGGTTAGATCGCGTACATACGTGTCGTTAAACCCGCCACTACCGGACACAGACAATTAGTAACGTTTGTCAAGTCAACAGAACATGGCAATTCCTTACTAATTCAATTCGTCACTAGTACAGCACACCGGTGTGTTCGAGAGGAAAGCCACAATATTTATAATCTGAGTACGACGTTTTGCCAGCAATTACAACTAGCATCATCAGGCGGATAGGCCAGATGATGCTCGCGAAAGTCTACGTGTTAAACTGATGATGCCGATAATGAAAATAAAAATGCGTTCACCGTCCCAGTGCCTCCTCGTACCCTCAGCCACCTCAGACTCCTTCCAACTGCTACCCCACCAACTCTCCTCGCTCTACCCACTACTCTATGTACGGTGTGTTGAACTTCTTTCGCACCGTATGTAGCCAACCGTGGCTAATCGGAGGTGCGGCGGGGAGGGAAGGACAACAAACTGAACACAAAAAGCAGTCCTAAACAAACATAGCTTGCAATACTCTTTGGGTCTTTCGGTAAAGTCACGTACATATTTAAAAAATAATTAAAATATAAAAGTAAAAATCACGACGTTTCGATCGCAACACAAGGAATCGTCTTCAGGTGCAAAAAATACAGCAGGCGGACTGCTGTATTTTTTTTTCTATCGACGTGACTTTACCGAAAGACCCAAAGAGTACGTGCATTCCTGGCAGTCACGAAAGCTTCAAGTCGTAGTTTTAAATCTAGACGATTTAAAAGTGCCATTAGGTCCAGCGGCTTCCTTACCCCAACTATGGCAACGTACAGCTCTAAGCGATGACATTATTAACACACGGAGGAGGCCTCCCTCCCTACGCCTTCACGTATTTCGGCGTTGCTTTGACCATACTTCACCACGCTGGCTCACAGGCGGGCTGGCCCCAGGGCCAGGTCAGGCGTCACTCGCCACCTACGTTTAAGCCCCGGACGAACTTACGACCTCTCTCCGACCTCCCCACGACGTTTCGTCTTCTCTCCCCATGCCTTGTGCCACGGTCTCTCTCACGCGGGGTTCGTCATGGCGCAGTGCGCTAACCGCTGCGCCACCGATCCTCACCCCCACCCACCCGCCCGCCCGTCACACACACTAATTAATTGTAAATTGCATTAATGACACGCTACGTGACTGATTTGTATAGTTTTGGATTGTTGCGATCGACAGCATGCATAGCCCAATTACCTCACAATACAATTCTGGGTTGTGGTTGTGGCCCAGTTCCGTACAGCACACGATACACCGTGCTTAGCACGCGCTTGCGGCTTAAACTTACGTAGTGTATATCTTTACGTAAACTATAACAAAGCGCAACTTTATTTTAGTTGTAACGAATACACGCGGAGCTTACCCGCGGCGAGGCGTCGAAAAATTCGTTCGGACTGTACGGAGTGCGATTAACCGCCTCCCGCGCGATTCCACGGTATCGATTTCAGTGACGAATCGATCGATTCCTTATATACATACACACGTCTCTTGTGGGTTTTTTTTAAATTACATCTCAACGCGAATAGGCGTCGTTCGTTCCTCCGCGGTCGTCAACGTCTCACGCGAGCACGCGTGAATGTTAAATGGGTATATTAAAAAAAAAAATATAAGCACACGATTCGAAGCGTGGATCGAGCACGGTGAGTTTATCGTGGATCGATCCATCCCTATACAGTGCAGCAATGAACTCCCCGATGGAACCGTGTCCATATCTTCCCAAGGGTTCTGCGAGCTCCTCACGCGATTTCATGAATCTATTTCAACTCTCACGTCCATCAAAACATCGCCTGTTACACCCCCCCCCCACCCCCGTGTAGCCTTCGCAGACTGTTGGGGCAAGTGCTGTTTGAGAGTACTGTATAAGCCACATTATGAAGGCCGCCCACTGTGGTACAACGAGGGAGCGGGTGGACGACAACCACGCACGGCCGCCTTTGTCTCCCCGGTGGCGATGTTTAACTACACACCGCCGCCAGCTACTCGATTGAATGCTGAGTGGATCTAGGGGAGGCCCATGACCGTCAATGGTGTTGGCCGTGAGCGGGAACTCGAATTCGGGTTTGAAAGCCGGGTTCGCAGCGCGCTGACCGCGACGCCACCGCTCCCCCGACACACACAAAGACCCCGCTGCATTTGCGGCCTACCGCGGGCCACACGTGCAACATCACACACACCACACATACACACGTGCAACATCACACACACATCACACACACGTGCAACATCACACACATCACACACATACATCACACACACGTGCAACATCACACATCACATACGCGCAACATCACACACGTGCAACATCACACACATCACACACACAACATCACACACGCGAAACATCACACACGTGCAACATCACACACACACACATACACACGTGCAACATCACACACACACACCATCACACAAACACACCATCACACACACACCATCACACACGCACATCACACACGCACATCACACACACGTGCAACATCACACACAACACATCACACACGCACGTGCAACATCACACACAACACATCACACACACACGTGCAACATCACCCACACACCGCCTCCATCGCGTCACCACCGCACACGGCTCCTGTGGTGCCAGGCTAGGTGCACGCTCACCGTGTATGAAGTGCGCGCTGCACACGCGCGTGTGCGCCTTCACGTCCTCCTCGCCCAGGTCGGCCCTGTCGATGCGGCTGAGCCACAGGGCGCGCCGCTGTTCGGACAGCAGCCGCGTCTTGTCGCAGTGGTGCTGGATCACGGCGGGGATGTTGAAGAAGGAGACGCTGCGGTCTCGCCCCGTTCTGTTGCTGCAGCCCACCATGGCGCAGATCACCATCTTAGCCACGCTCTCCACTGCTAGCCTTACTGGAGTGCTTCGAACTTCTTTCGCGCCGTACGCAGCCGAACGTGGTGGTGGTGGTCGGGGAAGGTTTCGAGCTACGCTCTCAAAATTCTGCGGGACGAACTCTGCGCTATCGACCGCGGTGGTGATGATGATGGTGATGATGGTGATGGTGGTCGCTGTGTCTGCACTCCGTCTGCCTTTCTCTCCACTGCTAGCCTACTTGCTCTACCCCGCCTCCTCCTGTGTTGCTTTACACTGGCTCTGCGGTGTGCGTGGTCAGCCGTCTTGGCGGTGGTTGTTGTAGTCGGAATGTGTCTGCACTCTCTCGCCTGTCTCCACTGCTAGCCTACTCTCTCTCTCTCCTCTTGCCGCTGTCGTTACAGCACTGTGTGTGCTGTTTGTTGCAGCACCGCTGTGTTCGGTGGTAAGATGCCTTCTCCCCTCCAAGTTACAAGTTCGATCTGAGCAAACGGCGATGGTCGTGTTGCGCGTATCTTCTGTTGCTGATGGCGGTGTTATTAACCGTACGGTTAGTTGCTGCTCGCTGGCTCTTTAACAAAGTTACAATAACGCCGAAGGTACTCGCCCGGGTACTTGGTTCGCCTTCTATCTCTCTATCTCTCTGTCTCTATCTCTCTGCGCCAAGTTACACAAGTTACATTTGACCGACGAGTGATTTCAAACGGTCCCCCCCACCACCCCACCGCGACTTTTACACGAATTAAAGACGTCCCGAAGAGCCTCGTCCTCCTCCTCCTCCTCTCGCCGCTCGGCGAACACGACGCAACAACAACAGCTACAGCACCAGCACCACACCGGCCGCCTGCAACGTTCGTGCCGTCGATGAATCTCCTGCGGCTTAGCTCACACCGAGCGACGTACGGTCTTGTTGACTACGCGTGGTGGTGGTGGTTGTTGTTGTTGCTGCACGCCGGTGTGTGTCGCTTTGGGGAGCTGCCGCCGCAATGATTAGTCTCCCCCCACGTTGCGGTGGGCGAGTTGGACGCAAAGATGGCGCCGGCCTAGAGTGTGTGCGTGCGTGCGCGCACGCGTGTGTCACGGTGTGTGTGTCTGTGTGTCTGTGTGTGTCACGGTGTGTGTGTGTCACGGTGTGTGTCTGTGTGTCTGTGTGTGTCACGGTGTGTGTGCCACGGTGTGTGTGTGTCTGTGTGTGTCAGGGTGTGTGTGTGTGTGTCACGGTGTGTGTGTGTCACGGTGTGTGTGTGTCACGGTGTGTGTCAGTGTGTGTGTGTGTCAGGGTGTATGTGTGTCAGGGTGTGTGTGTGTCTGTGTGTGTGTCTGTGTGTGTGTCACGGTGTGTGTGTGTCACGGTGCGATAGTGTACCGGTTAGCGCGCTGCGCTATGAACCTGGCCACCCGGGTTCGATTCCCGCTCACGGCCAACACCCAGTGACGATTATCTGAACCGGTCCCGGGCCTCCCCTAGGTCGACTCAGTCTCAAATGAGTACCTGGTGCGGTGTGTAAACATTGCCACTGGGGAGACAAAGGCGGCCTGGTGCTGGCCACCCACCCCCTCGTGTACCGTTCCGGCCTTCAAAGGTGCTCCCTAACAGCACTTGCCCCTACAGTCTGTTAAGGCTATATGGGGGATCTTTGTCTTTATCTTTGTGTGTGTTGTCTGCACCACAATGCTGGGGGAGTGTGCTGACGTCATGTCTGCACACACACTCACACACACTCACACAACAAAGGTTTGTGTGAGTGGGGAGCGGTGGTATAGCGGTTAGCGCGCTGCGCTACGAACCCGGCCACCTGAGTTCAATTCAGGCTCACGGCCAACAACCGATGACGATTATTTGAGCCGGTCCTGGGTCTCCCCTGGATCAACTCGGCCTCAAATGAGTACCTGGTGCTGGTGTGTAAACATCGCCACTGGGGAGACAAAGGCGGCCGTGCGTGGTGCTGCCCAACCACCTCGTGTGCTTTTTCGGCATTAATAGGTGCTCACCAACATAACTTGTGCCAAAAGTCTATTAAGACTATATGGGGGATATTTGTATTGTCTGTTCATTTGATGGATGTCGGTAGCCGATGTAATGTCTGCACACAAAGTTTAGTGGGTTGGGGTTGACGTTTTCAGCTGTTAACTTAAAAATGCGTGCTTTAAACATAAATATTAACAGTCAAATACAGTCATTATCACGGCATGTGTTTCTCTGGGAGGCCGCTTGTGTGTGCTTCATGCCATGCCTGTAAACAACACAGCTTCGTGAGCACTGCTGTGCATGTCTGTAACTAAATAGAATATGCACAATCGTGTTCATATTGTGTATGGTGTGTGTGTGTGCTTCTGTACAAATGCTAGGAGTCAAACGTGACCTCTGGGGTATCACATTTTGTGTGCATGCATAAGCTATTGATAAAAAATATATGCCAAAAAAGTATAAATATTATTCTTATTTTCTTGTTCATTTGTTGAGAAAACGTGTCCATGACCTCATGTCTGGGCACACAAAGGTATGCGCATTGTAGTATGTTGTGTTGCGTACATAAGCTCACGTTGGGATGTGTACTTTAAATAATGTACAAAATGCAAGTGTGACTGCTGATGAGACAATGAGTGTTGAGACAGGTCCAGAGTTTTCTCATGTGGAAATAATTTTGCTGCAATGATGAGTACATCATTGCAGCTGCTGGGCGGATGTGTAAAATATTATTTCATTGATAATTGTTTTTTTACCCTTTTACCTGGCAACAAAACTGACACATTTTTTTTTACAAAAGGCGCCTTTTGGCGTCATCTGGTCCAACACCACGTGAGACGAGGCTCTAAGGAAAGCTGTCTCGGGTGTGGACAAATCAATTGCAAGGATAGTGCCAATACATTATCAGGGTTATGTTTTTTGTTTTTTATTCCGACCGCAGGTATTGTGGTCAATGCAAACATGACTCCTTGTAAAAAAGTGTCAGTTTTGTTACTAGGTAAAAGGGTAAAAAAAACAATTATCATATTTTGCTACTGGCAAAGGAGGTTCCAATGGTATTATTTCATTGTGTTCGCGTGGAGGAACAAAGACGTATTTGATCAGCACAATCGTGGTATTAAAAAACGGTGTGGTTGTGGTTAGTTTGTCTGATGCTAGGAGTCTACGCGTGGTGTCACGAGCCCCTTCTTGACCAACCCGCCGATGAAGTATGGTCGAACAAACACTGAATACCTACTTACTCAGGCTGGGAAGCCTTCAACAGATCGAGCGCTATCACACAATCATGAATGTGCCATTCAAAGTTATTGTATGTGTATGGACAAGTCATAACCCTAAGCTTTGTAATGTTGTGCAGTTCTGTTTCGCATCCTCTGTTTAGATCTACATACATGCATGAAATTATTCTTATAATTTAATTATTATAATTTAATGTATAATATAATTGAATGTACAGTATATACTTTGGTTGTGGGTTATTTGTTCTGGGTTCATGATGTGACCCTCAACTGTAAATCTTATGACAACACGTGATCTGCTGAAGGGCCTTCCTATTCACGCTATCGGTCTTGGGGATGTTTGACTATACTTCATCACGTTGGTCAATGCAGGTTGGTTAATGAGGGGCTCCAGGACCAGTTAAGATGTCACTCGCCATGGCAGGGAATCAAACTCTGGACGCTGGATTTATACTTCATACTTGGAGTAGGCCTCAGCAAGGTAAGGTAATTTACCATTTTTACTGGGTAAAAGGGCAAAGGTAAAGGTGTCGACCATATTGTTAGTTCTTTCGGTAAAGTCACGTTGAAGGGAACCAACAAAATAATAAAAAAATATATAAAACAATAAAAATTCTCACGGTCGTCTTCAGGTGTGTCGGTTTGCATAAATTTATTTGTAAACGGTGTATTTATTTATAAAAAAACGTTAGCGCCACGCGCAGCGATTTGGCAGTTTATTTAGACGGACTAGTCCATCTATGTTCTGAAAAGAGGAGGGGGGAGACGCAGAATTACCCGGTAGGGTAAAGGTAGCGCGAAGTATTACCCGGTAAATATCTTGTTTACTGCTCGCTAAAAGCTCCTTGGCGCAGTCCGTGGCCTTCATTTTAAATTGGAATCATTGATGTGGGACCAGATGGAGACGGACCACGTTCTTGAGGTAGAGGATGAGGTCGAGGATGCCAGCAACGGCATTTTCGGCGTCGCTGCGAACAGCAATCGAAAGAGGCAGCGGCATGCGTTCCCGTGGGAGCACACGCACGATTGGATGGAGGGTGGTCCCTGTGTGTAGCAAGGAAAGGGGCAGTGCGTGCACTGCTGCAAGTGGTTTTCCTCCCACACGAACGCGTCGGGGTGGAAAGCCCACCTCAAGAAACACAATGTGCTCGCCCCAGGCAGCGAGGTCGGGACGTCGGCGAGCCTCCTCATGCGGTAAACGCTGAGCCGGCCAGCGATCCCGGATCGCCTCCTGGTAAAGTTTGAGAACGCGGTGGTTGATTTTGTTATCCAAGGTGCAATCTCTTTGCGAGCCGCCGGCAGCGACACGTCAAAGACCTTGGTCCAGACATGGACGCAGGGATACGAGGGCCCGTTGACCCGCACCATCATTCGCAGGATTGTCGAGCATCACGCCATCATGTTGCCATTGGTCGGGGCGTTCTGCTCCAACCTGGACGTCGCCATCTCGCTCACCATCGACGTGGTGGTCAAACCGCAACCTGAAGGGATTTTGGATGGGCACGGTGCACTGGATCGACACCAAATCTGTTGCGTCGAAATCCATGCTGGTGATGATCCTCGATGTGCAGTCCGGAAGGGGTGTCGGCAAGCGCATTGGCGCCGCTCTGTCTTTGTACCTCCAAAGCCTCGGGCACAATGTCTCAACTAAGCTGCTCGCTGTCACCAGCGACAATGTCTCCGATGCGACCAGTGCTGTCAAGACGTTCGCCCTGGTCAACGCGAACGCCGGATATGAGCAGTCGCGGGTCTTGCCACCGTATTCGCTGCGCAGATCATACGGTCCAGATCGGCGTCATCCAAGTTCTCAAACTGATCAAGTCGACCAACGCCAAACTGCGCAAGGCGCTCGTCAATATCAGGCGCAAGGTCGTCCGGCAGTCGAACCGTCGCCAGACCGAGATCGCCAAGCTCGCCAGAAAGGAGCCGACGCACCAGGACTCGCCGACCAGGTGGAATTCCGACGTTTGATATGGGCGACGACGCCATCAAGAAGCATGTCCCATTGAACATTCTCGTGGGCGCGCTTCCAGGATGTAATTGCCGTCGGTGCTTTCTCTGAAATGCAGTGGGCAAACATCGAGGGCGTGACAGCATTCCTGCGAATGCCGCGCCAGGTCATGACCTCGTTGGCGGCGGACCGCCAGTCGACATTGGATTTCGTGCCGGTGACGATGGAGCACCTGATCCGCCATTGCGATCGCGGTGAAGCCGCTCTTAGAGCGATCGATGAGTCCTTGACTGTGACGGGGATGAAGGCCGAGATGGTGTAGTAACGCGACTTCCTGGTACAGGAACCCGCCATTGTGGCATCCTACTTGAATCCACAGCTGCCGAAAACGACAGGCCAAGACGAGCTGGCTACACTGAAGGCCACGTTCCGCTACGTCCTGCAGCATCGCTACTCGGACGTGCTCGCGATCCCGCCGACTCATACGGAGGGGTCACTGTTAGCACCCTGTTCAGCAACATCAGCAACTCCATCGACGATGAAGTCGATCGTTTTCTGAGCATGGGCGTCACGACCGCCAGCGCCTTCATTGACGTAATGCAGTGGTGGTCTCCCCGCAAAGAACTACTCCCTGTTCACTAAAAGATGGCCTGCGACTACTTGGGAGCGCCGGCGACGTCAACTCCCTGCGAAGGCGCGAATAGCGAAGCCGGGCGGGAGTTCGCATGCGTTCACCAGTCGCTGTCGTTGACGCTCTTCATCCAGTCCATGTGCTTGTGCTCGTGGATCGCGGCCGGCTGCCTGAAGGTCCCGTCTGAATGGGCCGGAGTGGCACAGGATCTTATTGCCTGTCGTGCGTCCCGAGGACGACAACAGGCAATAAGATCAGGTTGTTGATGAGATTCGTCATCGACCAAGACGACTGGGACGAGGTTATGGAGGAGAGTGTCATCGACAGCCTCAACGCCCGATTCGAGAGTATTCTATATGAATAAAGCGCTCTACCTAGCATTTACCTGTTATAAACCTTTTTCATGTGTAGTACCCCGGTAATTAGCCTGTAATCGGGTCATTTGTATGGGGTAAGGGTAAAAGGTAGGGTAAAGGTAGGCGAGTTGCTTTTTTACTTTAACCTTATCTTGCCGCGATCTAACTTGCAGTGCACACTCCACTGCCACACTGCTTTATGAACAAATATACTTTAGGATAAGTCGATAAACCCACCACCCGACACAGCCAATTAGTAAAGCTGTCACGTAAACAAAACGTGCCAATTAGTTACTGGTTCAGCACACTGGTGTGTTGGAGAATAAACCTACATCTACAATTACGCGATCTAACAAAAAAAAAACCTCAATTCTGGATATTGGTCACGAAAGCCTACGTGTTAAGTTGATAAATGGAAAATCCCCAAGTGTTGCATTCAGCAACATGTAAATCACGTGTGATTAAATCAACTAAAATAAGGCTCTTTTAGTCAGCCGAGTCTCAATACAGGTATTTCTCGATTTACGAACGTTCTTTTTACGAAATTTCGCGTGAGCGCAATTTACAAACCGTGGACACTTTTCGATGAACGAAATCAAATTCACGCGTTAACGAAATTTCGCCACACGCCACGAGATCATCAAACGAGAAGCACTCGGTGTGGGGGTGGGGGAGAAGGCGCGTCATCCATCCGCGATTGCGTCACTACCCACCTCAGCCCAACCACGTGCCAAAGGGGCAGGACCTAAAGAGGAAGGGACGGGGCTTATGGAGGTTGAACTTCCCATGTTGAAGGGAAAATAGTTGAATCATCGGGGATGCGTTCCTGAATGGTGCAACGACGAATATCTGAGGCGAAGGGTGAGGCGACGGACACAAGAATTGGACGGACGATGTTGCGAGCGACGTGTGGGTTGAGGCGACGCAAATCGGGTAGCGGTATTAATAAAATGACGACATACTTGCGAAACGACGCTAATGAGAGAGACTTAAATCGGGGTATTACTATACATGCAGCAGCAGTGCTGTCGATGCGGCTACAAGCCAGATAGTATTCTCAAATGGACTTAACGTGTAATCATGGCTTAATGTGAGTAGTTAAAACAAATTGTAATTGAAACATGCTTTTAACAAAAGTACTTTTTTTATATATATAACGTACTGTTTTGTTTTCAGTGTTCTCATCACACACACGACAAATTTTCCCTATAGCCTGTTGGAGAAAGTGTTACATGGCGACCACCTGTTAAGGCGGTATTGCACACGAAGGGTGATGTGGCCAGACCACACGTGCGTACATGCACATACACGGAAGTTACACTTATGGGTTTTATTGCCCACTTCATCGGAATTTCGAATTTCATGTGGGCTATTACAGATGAAAAGGTAAATAGTGATAACACAAAAACACTTTCAAAGGTCAGATTCGACGTGAACATTTGCACAGTATCTTGGAAGTCACATAACTAGTGAGGTACAACACTCCTCTACACATCAACTCATTAACTTTGAAGACCTGAAGGTCTTTACACAATCAAACAAGACCATCTTCTTTAAAATTTGTTTAAACACCCATAAATGCTAGTTTTGGAATCAAGAATTGGTGTACTAGTGGACTGCGGCTGACCTGGTCTGAGCAGTGAAGTTGTAGGGGGTGTTTTTTGGAAAGATTTGGGAAATAGGATGGAGCCGAGTGGTGATGGAGACAAGAAGATAAGTGTTGGAAAGGCAGCAAGGACCGCCGAGTGCCGTTTCTAACATCAAGAATGGTGGCACGTAGTGACAGCTTTGCCCCTACCCTTTTCGAGTGGAGAAGAGGCGGACCCAAGGTCGACAGATCAAGGGCAGTCTCTAGCCGAAGTCTGGCCCAGGGACAAAGCCAGCCATCGGGCCACCAAGCGGCCAGCTGCTGGCATCGTCGACAACAGAGTAACGTCGACCAATGCCCATGACTGCCCTGGCATGGGAGTTGCCAGCCTGCAATCTATATCACTCACAGTACAGCAGCCACGGTTAACGCTCCCAGCTGCCCTGATGAAGCCGCCAGCCACGTGTTTCGCCACGCCAGCCTGGGGCCTACAGCGTCAATGGCGAAGCGGTGTCGGCCAATGCTCCTGGCAGCAAAGCTGCCGGCCAATGTGCATTGCCAGCCTGAGGCCTACAGCATTGAGTGGAGCAGCGCTGGAAAACATCCATGGCTGTCCTGGCAGTGGAGTCGTCAGCCATGCAGGCCGGCAGCCCGCGGCCTACATCAGAGAGCAGCTATGGGCACCGTTGCTCATCGTTGACCAGCTGATGCCTCCGCCAGTCAGAGCTAGACCAGTTCACATGCCAGCTGACGAGCCGCTAAGTGGGCGACCATCAGCAGCACCGATAGCGGAGTGGTTCTAGGGGCCGATCACAGTTCGGCCAAGTACGCAGCTCGCCATACACCCGATGGCAAACCGCCGGCATGAATTGCAGCTCACTAGGGTTCCCATTTTAAAGGGGTTCTAGGTCGGGAACCCACATGGGGGAGGGGGTGATGTAGTGGCCGAGGGGGGAGGGGGTGATGTAGTGGCCGAGGTATAAGGGGGGGGGGTTTGGTAAGATCTAGAAGAGGGGTTGGATCTGAGGGAGTGGTCATGGAGACAGGTGATGTTTGTTGCTGGAAAGCAGGTGGGTTAATGATCAAAAACGATGGGTCGAGGATGGGGTTGCGGAGTTCTGGTGGGAACGGGGTGAGGTTACAGAGCTTGCCCCTAAAACCATAATCACACTCGGTCACATCTGCAAGTTTCACAGATTATTTTGTATGGCCTCAACATTTGTGCCTCGTAATAGAGGTTAACTGAATCTGTATTATGTCTTGTAGCGCGAATTACCCAAAATGTAAAGGTTCTGCCCATGAGGTTCCTATGGGAAAGAATATGGTGGTTTCATTGTGCGACTATAGCATCGACATCTCCACGAGGGACTTTTGCAGAGCATTCAAAAAGTTTACATCACGTCCTAGTTTTGTACAACACAATAACAAAACACTAACTACGACATATCGACATATATAAACAAATTTCCATTGTTCAAAGAGCACATTTCCCAAGGGCTACGTTCATATTTAGATTTTAGGCCAAATCGCAATGTCAATTTCAAATTCGTCACATATGCCACGATTGCAGCGAATCATTATCATCAAAGACGGTCACTACATCACATGCTTTCAGTTGCGCTTCTGCAACCATCTGGAACGCTCTTCCCTTACGATAGTAAAGCCACTGGAGCTATGCACTTCTAAATTGAAAATTACTTTAGAACTGCTTTTTGTGTTTAGTTTGTCCTTCCCCCGCACTGTATGTCTACATACGGTGCGAAAGAAGTTAAACATACATATGGTGCAGATATTACCTTTAATGTCCAAAAAATTGTTACTTTTTATACTGAAACGGTGAGAAAAAGCCACATATCCACGTAAGGTGTAGGCTCTCACAAGACCATCATCTTCTAGCTACACGAGTTCCTAATCACTGAGCGTAATTATGCCCCATTGTTAGCTTTCCCTTTATGCATGAGCACACACACATGTAGTGAGCATATATAGGTAAAATACGTTCATCTTTAAGCCAATTAGAACACTATCCTGAGCTGACCAAATTTTGTGCACAAGTCTTGCATGACAATTCTTATAAGTTTTTTTCCAATAGGGGTGGCCAAACTTTCCGATCCCGAGCTGCATCTAAAATCTTCATATAGCCGAGAGCCACAAGACACGTCACGGGGAATGGTCACACGGCAAGTTCACTTGCCCTGTTTGGTTGTGGAGTTTTAAACTCAGAAAATCTGTGGCAGCAACCCAACGCAGGATTCATGTCTGGCTGTGCTACCAGACTTGTCCTGTTTGAAATAAACAAAAACATTCTAAATTGTCCGCGTATCTATCGTGATGGACTTGAACTGCCCAGGAGCCATGTGGCTTGCAAGCCGCAGTTTGGCCGTGCCCATCCTCTACATTATACATGCATTGGACACATTGTCAATAGCATTAAATCACTTTGTATGCATAACTACCGTATTTTCCCGCATATAACCCGCGGGGTATACCACTTTTTACAAACAAAACAAGACCCTGCGGGGTATATGGAGGTGTGGGCAATCTGAAATTTGTTTTATACAAAACGCTATTTTTGCGGGGTATATGCGTCTGCGGGTTATATGCGGGAAAATAAGGTAAATCACCCATACATTTAAGTTGTTGTAATTGGTATGGTTTAAGACAAAAGGAAATTACATGCTATTAAACAGCATCTGAAAGTAGACATTTTGCATAAAATGTAATATAATAACGTATCAGCCTTTGTCAATTCACTGTTGATAGCGTCCCCAATGCTGTTAGTCATAGGAACCGTTCAGATATCATTTGCCAACGATGTTAGCCATGGGCGAGAATCAAACTCAGGTCGCCAAGTCCACAACAGTGCGCCAACCACTGTGCCACCATTTCACTCTTAAGAAAATAAGTATTACGCGGTGAAGATATTGGTGGCATAATGTATATTACCAGAGAAAATTTTCATGGTAAACGTATGTGTACATGGATGTTAATATGCCTTCACAATATAGGCATACCTGGGCAGAATACTTTCGCCACCAAATTTGGCTATTATAGATTTAAACATCCAAAATGTGTTGCAAGGACATGCGCTTTGCATGATCACCAAAGGCTAAAAGGAATGTTTTAAATGTACAAATGACTGCCATCAATAGCATAACTTTATCAAGAGCATTAGGTAGCAAATTACCCAGATAAGATACGAACAAAAACAGTCTCCCCCATATACAAACCCACGAAAAGTGCTTATAAAACATAGCTTCTTTGAAATTGCCATTCCTTGAATTTCCCGTGTCAAGGAATGGTAAACGAACATGCCATGGGGGACTCTCCCATCATGGGATCATCAACACAAAGGGGATATTTCTAAATTTACAGTCAGTTCCATCTAAATGCTCGGACATTTGCAATAAATGCGTGCTCAAAAGGAACGTGTCGTCAAATTATATACTTGTGTAGGGCGAACAGAAAACGGACCCTAATCAGATTAAACGTACTCGCAGGAACCCGCGGAACTTCCGTGCTAAAGGGATGGTGAATATGTACGTTTATCGTTTAGCAGTTACGTTTTCGACATTTGAATATTTTAGGATCTTTATTCTTTCAAAAGTAATTTCATTAAAGCTTAATTGTATTTGTATGTTGTTTTAGCTATTTAAAAAAAGAAAATCACAACTATTCCTTTGTGACAAGTTTAAGCCTACCTCAAGGAAATTGCAGCGCACAACAGTAGACAAAGTTGAAGTGACTTGGCCAAGGTAAGCAGGCCCATTATGTCACCCCGACTTTGAACTGCACGTCTCGACATTGGCTTCCTCTCCGTTCAAATCCAACAGCCCTTTCTCACTCGGTGGCACCATTCTCTCCCCCCCTCCCCCCCTCTCTTTTTTCAGCTCTCGTGCGACGTAATGCCATTTCATCGGCTTACTTCCGCTTGGTGGTGCCGGTGCCTCTTTCCGCTGCCCGCTCTCAAGGCGTCAAGCTTTTCCTCCAAAATGAATTTCAGCGCTGCCGTGCCGTTATCTGTCCTCCGTTCTTCTTGCCTGCCGCTGTTTCCGGCCGAGGTGCGCGCGGTACCACTGCACGTGCTGCCTAGTCACTGCTCGGACAGCCTCGCGTTCTTCCGTCTGTCCCGACATGCTGCCCACGCTGATGTTCTGTCCTCGCAGGTCTGACTGCTCTTTATTGTGGCTGGGTGTTACCCTCTGCGCTTATGTTGCGGGTATTCCACTGTTAAAAAAAATAGCGGTAAATTGGTCCAACAAGAGTAAAAGCAGTGAGGAAATGTGTTATCAAGCTATGTCTCAGAGCCAAAGAAAATTGTCAGAAAACAGCAAATGTGCGATGCTAGATTGGAAAGATGGTATCTACCAAGTTGTTTGCAGTAAACACCAGGAAAGAGCACGATACAGACACACGAACAAGACGTGTACAGCTGGATGAAACAAAACTTCAGGAAACAGAGGCTGCACATTATATCCATTGCGATCGTGACCGAGATGAATGAACGCACTTCCTTTCTTTCTGTTTGTCGGAACAGGAGAAATCCTGTTAAAATTGTTTGTTTTCGGTTTTCTGCAGTGGTCCCACGGCACGACGCACGAGTTTTGTTACAAAGAATAGGCCAGAACCTGTCCAAACTTGTTTTTCCTTCCTTTCCACACGAGAATGAGTGAAGCACAAGTGCAGAAGCTTTTCTTCCTCTCCGCTAAAGAAGATGGGACTCCCTCCCTCTAACCCTTGCGTGAGAGAAAAGGAGTGAAGCACGTATAGTTCTGTATGTCCCGTTGCATAATAGATGGACACACGCAAGCGTTATTTTCGATCAAAAGATTCCGTAGACAATGGTATATCACTGCTAGGGTACAAATGTCTCAAAGCTGTGGATTCTGCAGTGCTCACCACACATTCAACACCTACCGATTGCCATGTTTTCATCGAAATTCCTAAGAGACATAACTATTATGCCCACATAGAATGCAACAAAATATGTGGGTGCTTGAATGCAATCGTAATGTTCAAAAACAATTGTGCACATGGAGACTAAATTAATTACATTGTGTCGCAAGATCTAGTGAATTTTGGAGATTGGCATGACTGAAAAAGGGATTAGAATTAGAAATTATTAATTGTGCATGTCAAACCTTTTTGTTTATCGGATAACAGAGCTGGTAAAAAAAAAAATGTCTTGTTCTGGTAAAATTGAAGTCAAAATAAGGTGATTCAGGTCACATTTTTTCCACTACTGCAAAAAACCGTAACATATGCAAGACACTCCCAACATCTTCTCTGTAGCCAAATTGCTGCCAAATGTGTACAGTGCAACACCTGGCAGGCTTTATAACCACACTGCACTGTGTAGTTATGCGTCGCTTCTCTAGGGAAACAGACTGGACATATGCTAATTTATCAAATGGCATTGGCGGCTTCGTGCGCTGCAGATTCCCGAGAACTGAAAAAGCGGATTTCTTTTGTAGCGTCAATTTCCTTTTTTTGTTTTGTGTGTGCAGAGAACAAGAGTGTCGCTTAAAACAAGAAAACGGCCTTGGGGTCGTCGACTCGGGACAAACCCAGCTGAAATTAATCCCTGGCAGTGGCGGTGTGGAAGAGATGGGGGGGGCTGTGATCAGGATGGGGTTGGAGGGGTGGTGGTCTCTGGTTTTTCAGGAGTGACCACTTGGCTCACAAAGCCACCTCGGCAGTCTCTTCCCTGCGATCCCTGTCCTCCTCGTCGCCGGGGTAGGAGTGCCAAGTGAGGCGCTCCTCGTAAAATGAGATCACCACCTGAGGGGGGGGGGGGGGGGCGCACAGTTCATGCAGGTAATTGCAGGGCTGCACCTTTACCGTTTTATATCCTAACAATAACGACGAAAAAAAAATGAACCTGGAACTAGGTTTGCTTCATTCGTCAAGTAAATAAACACCTTTCAGCTTTTGCAGATTAACTGGTTATGATCACATTCAAATCAGATAAGCATATGCCACGATGGAGAGATGTTAAACTCCCTCGCTAAGTATAATACAGGTCATGGGTTTGATATTGACCCTGACGCTTGTATATTTGGAGTTTGCATGGTCTCCCCGTTATTGCATGGACCTTACTCCGGGTCCTCCGTTTTTTCCCTCCACATTCAGAAACATGTATTTAGAGTATTTGGCTGCTTTAAATTTCCACATAATAATCCAGTTCGTTGAGCTATCATTTGTGAGCAGGTCGCTTCTGAAAAAGAGCTATATAACTTAGTGGGCCTTACCTGGTCAAATAAAAATAGTTTACGTTAAACAAAGTACAAATATTGTTCACGTTATGCGAGTTAAGAAGTCGTGGATTTGAAAATTCCATGTATACCTGAGGGCATTTAAGGTTGGCCTCCTTCGCTGGTACCAGATCCGCCTCGTCAGAATCTCTCCTGTTGATAAAAAAGCACTCAAGAAAATTAACCAAACTTTTCCACAATGCACTATGTGGTCATATTCACTCTGTATTCCAGATGGAATCTCCTGCAAGAATATAGGATGGATTCAGCATTCACATCGCACCCATTGTTAGTACCCAACTGTAGAGAAGTGCATGTACTAAATACATATGCAGAGGACCAAAATGCACTATTTCAGGAAATTATGTTTTTTAATATTTGAAGAATGTAAAAATTCCGTGTGTAAACAAATACTAAATAGTATGACGAACTACCTTTTAAAAAAGGCGAATGTATAAGTTGAATAACATTGGGTCAAATTAATACAATCTCAGCTCTTACCACTTCATGAGAAACATGAGCTCTCCACTGGAATCTGTGGCGCCGATGATTCTCTCCGGCTCCAGGCCCCGAGTGAAGCCTCGGATTCTGTCGTCAGCCTTGGGGATACAGAAGTGCACCGCACACACCTTTTAGAAAAAGCACCAGGAACCACTGCAATGGTTTCAATGGAACAACGACAGTACTCACTTCCTCATCTAAAAGGAAATAAAAATCATGCATATGCATGGATTCTATCACACTTTCCAACCTGTTTGTCCTCAGGAATATTAACATTAAATTAATATTTCTAATAGCTATTTTGGTTATAATCCCTCTGAATATCCCCCACTACAATTACCAGAAATGAAACCATCGCCCACCTGCGAACTGGTACATTATTTACTGCCACTTGTTGCTCAGCAACTACATTACTAACAATAGCCAGGTGGATTGCCTTCACACCTCTAGCATCACACTCCCGAGTGTGACTTTTTAGTGAGACCCATTACAATGTTGACTGCAGTTGGCATTTGGCAGCAACCCCCACCCTAGCCTCCTCGGGTCTAATGTAATCACTGAACATGGCTGCGTAATAACAATTCTAAATACTAAGCTGTAGAACCCTGAAAATTTCAAGCGATTCCTTAATTACCCACTTATAGGGATGTATATTTTTACGAAGCGTACTGGTTGCAAATTGCATCTCGAAAATTTGTAATGCAGTTTTTTCGCATGGTCAGGAAATCAATGTGGAAATGTAGCCATAACCCGTGCCAACAATTTCCCGAGTTCTGCGATTATATATTGGGGAATTTGGCTATTAATAAGTGTTTATACATGTGGGATGAACTCAAAGCACCCAGAGACCACCCATTGGTACAAAGAGGTTAACACTCCATACGCCATACAGATCAAAATGAATCTACTTGCTATACTGCCATCATACCCCGGCAAATGCCCCAGATATGGAGACGGATGCCCAACAGGTAGGGAAGGAGTATCACGAATTTGTTTTCAAAGCGATTGATTAAAGGTGTGCAACACAGCCAACAAAGCGCCATGTGTAGTCAACGTTCTGTTACACAGAATATAACTCACCTTTCTTTCCTCTTTCTTCTTCTTGGAACGGCCGTCATCTGAGCCATTGAGGGATGAGGCCTTGCGCTTCTGCCCTTCCCCCCGTTCCTCGCTGGCCCCGCTATGTTTTGGCGTCGACTTCTGAGAATCCAGGTATTGGGTGATGAGCTCTGGGCAGTCCAGGTTCTCCTCTGGCTCCCAAGTGTTGTCGTCACTGGTGGCAACACGGACGTCCAGGCTGGCGTCAGCGATTTTTGAATCCTCCCTCCTCCCACCCCTTGGCTGTACAGCAAGTAGGTCAGAAGCTTTATCGGTGGGGTTGCTCCTACAATCAGATCTGGAATTCGGAGTCGCATTGCTGCAAACTTAATAACAAATGTGGCATGTGACTACTCGGTCCCCCATCAACAATTTGCAAATCCATTAAAAAGTGTTACCATTTTTCTGTATTTATATATTTGGGTCTTGTTTGCATGCTTTAGTCCACTCAATTAGCCTAATCATAACATTACCATAGGATTTACATTGAGACCTCCTTTGCCAGTAACAAGATATAGGAATAGGTTTTACCCTTTTAACTGGACCAATCAAATTCAAGGACAGTGCATATTATCAGAGTTGTCTTTTTTGTTTGCATTTTGACTGCTTGTGTTGTGGTTATTGCAAACATGATGCCTTGAATAAAGGTGTCAGTTTTTGTGCCAGTTAAAAGGGTAAAACCTATTCCTATTACCATTGGATGTGTAGGAGAATTCGATTTTAATCAATGATGTGATACATTATAACATACCTGCTTGACTACTAAACACTCATTAGTGAAATCACATGATACAAGTCTTACATCAAATTTATATTTTAAGAAACTAAGGGACTGTGTTAAAAGTGGTGCACAAGCACAAACAAAAGAAATCCATTGCAAATTATTAATGTTGAACTTTTTTCAGTTTTTCAAGTAAAATACTGTGGAGAGATCTCTTGCCAAACATTACTTCACGATGAAGAATGGCAATTGTTCAATCATCATCAGTCACGATTAATTCGCTGATGGATGTGCGGCCTCCCACAAGTCATCATCACTCACGGTCCTGCATGCACGAGTTGATTACACTTTTCATTTCAACAGCGAAAGATCTCTCGAGCGTGTTCTCTCCTTTGGCTGCCACTCTACTCCGAGTCTCAATGACCGGGTCATGCCATCATCTCTGCTAGCAATATGTCCTGCCCCAGCACACTTATATGTTCCTTAACAGCCGATATGATGCCTATAACTTGCCTAAATTTTATAATGCATTTATTCCTAATCTCTCAGTGCAATTCCAAGCTTACAGCTCCCCATGCTTGTCTGTGGACTTTTCAGACTTGTTAGATTTTCTTAATCGTAATTCATGTTTCAGATAATATACACAATTAAAATATCAATGTCAGACACATGTACATGCTACTTTGCATTCGTAAATGTTACCCTATTATGTTTTGCTACGAGTAGTGAGATTCTGAATCCTCAATTCCCAGCTGGGTGGATTATCAAATAATCACCCTGTTTGAATATACGGAACACAAGTTAATTGTCTTTTGGCCATGCAAGACAGTATGCCACTCTTACTGTGAGAAGCCCTTCCACTTGAGCAGGTATTCAACTTTGCCCTTGACCACTCGCCGGTCAAGCACCTTCTCCACCACGTACTCCTCCTCCTCCAGCTCTCCTTCCGGTACCCCTCCACCCACCACCTCTTCCTCCGCCTCCTCTTCCTCCGCCTCCTCTTCCTCAAGGTGCTTCTTGTTTTGCTTGCTCTTCCCCATCTTCTGAAAATTACATTCACGAATTAGTCGGGCTGATGATCGATAGTTTGGTAATGTCATCATTAGACCTCCTTTGCCAGTACCAAATGTAATAATAGGGTTTTTCCCCTTTTTTCTGGCAACAAAACTGAAACTTTTTTTTACGAGGATTCATGTCTGCATTAATCACAATACCTGCAGTCAAAATGCAAACAAAAAACAGCGACACAATACAGGTAGGGATATAAAAGGGACAACAGCACGAAAACGAACTTAAACTTCGATTTAAAGCTTTCGTGACTGCAAGGATTCATCTTCTTTGGTTCTTTCGGTAAAATCACGTAGAATGAGAATAAAATAATTAATTGATAAAATAAAATAATACAATAATATTCTCACGACGTTTCGGCCACAACACAAGCGGCCTTCATCAGGTGAAGGGACGAGACTGTCTGTCACTCCAGCGCTGTCCTCCAGACAGTCTCGTCCCTTCACCTGATGAAGGCCGCTTGTGTTGTGGCCAAAACGTCGTGAGAATATTATTGTGTTATTTTATCAATTTATTATTTTATTCTCATTCTACGTGACTTTACCGAAAGAACCAAAGAAGATGAAAACGAACTTGTAATGCTTGAGCAAAGGTCCTGCAAAGATAGGCTTTAAAATGTGCAATGGCCTCCTGGTCCATCGGTTGGAGGACTGAATTTGTGTTTGGTGGGAGAAACACTACTTTCATGTTTGGGTGAATATCATCTAAATGTGAGGGGTGGCCAGGAGCATTAATAATCAACCACAAGCAAAATCTTGAATGGGATGACCTCTTCTCTGCAGTATTTTTAAACATTGGGAATTGTGAAGCAATCCTCGAATATTGCTTTTGTGACCCAAGCCTTTGGACTTGAATGGAAAAAAATAGAAGGGTTGCCTGATGCCCTTAAAGGCACGGGGATTTTTCAAATGATACACGATCAGTGGTTTCAGTCTGTGATCTCCGCTGCATTAGCCCCAAGCAGGAGCGTAAAGCGATCTTTCGCAGGCTTAAAACCGGGCCTTGTCTTTTCCTCATTTGAAAGGTATGTTTTTAATGTCATTTCCCCCCCCAAAAGTCCCATCTCATGACGTTAAATATTTGCTCTGCCGTATAACCACCTTCATTGATATTTTTTCAACACTTCAGGATATAATTCCGTTGCTTACATATCACCACTGGCACAAAATTAGAACGAGGCTTAAATCTATTAAACCAACCATGACTGGCCACAAATTTAGCGTCAGGATCACCGTGCTGCCATTTCACGTCCTCGAAAAGACTTTAAGCCTTAACTAGAATCACCATAAGGCTAAGTGGGACGCGCCGTTGAATTTTATCTTCCATCCACAACGTAAGCAACTTTTCCGTCTCGGACGGCACCTGATCGATCGCTGCTTTATCACAGTTGATTTTAAAGGTGCCGAACCTTTCACATGTTCCTTTATACAAGCACTGTCCTTCAAAATTTTAGTCACTGTTGAGGTAGTGAGACCGAGCTCGTGTGAGATGAAAGAGTTTTGTCGCTCCTTCATGCTTAATTGTTGTCATTTTCTGCTCTAAATCAATCACTTTACGCCTACGAGCAAGTCCTGTACTCTTGCTAGCACTTGGTCGCTTTCCAGTCATTATTGCAATGCATTTAAGGATTCAGTTTCATTTATTTGGTATAGCCCTGTGGGCCATTCGGCTCTTGAATCGGGTGCAACCGCAACAAACAAAAACATGAACAAGAAAACATTAAGTGACTGCGAGACGATGTAGCGGGTGTAAGCACGGTAACAATGTAACAGTGTGACTGAGAGTGGGGGAGCGGCTTATATCACCGCCTTGGGGAAGATGCTTACACCTCGTTCCGCGACAATTCATTCGCAACCTCACCGCTCCGCACGACTTGCGCTTACGTAACTAACACAAACATTTCCGCACATTGATTTTTTTTACATGATTTATGGGGGCAGTTCCGTTAGGGTGCATTTCCTAAGGACTGTCTGTAAAGACACACACGTCCTTCTGTATTGATATTTATAGATGTATAGCAATAATTGCCCCATATCGGCAGAAAAATGGCCTCAGGTCAATCTTGCAAATTAAACAGTATCCCAGTTTATCGAGTCTTTACCTGGCTCTACAAAATAAACTTTAATCTTAAGGTATACATGCGAGAGCAATTATGTTGCAATTGGGGATTAGCGAGGCCATCATCCAGCAGCGGACTGACAACGTGCTGTACATGTACAATGTGTTATTTACATCAGTATATTGATGAACATTGAGTCATGTCATTGCAGTTTGAAGTCACCAATACACTGCTGGATTTGAGATGGCTTCCCTAACGCAGCCGCGGATTCGCGTCTTAACGATGCTACAAATACAATGATCCACTTAGCGTCTGTGCACAAGAACTCGATAACTTTCAAGCGGTGGTCAAACCCGGACTATTTAACATTGCAGCAATGTATCACTGTTATTATTATGGCCGATTATATATTTTTATATGCACGCGTTTCCTAACGAGTTGTTTTACGCGCAGCCCCCACCCCCCATTGTTTAAAGTCCGGTGGAAGCACATTTCCATCAAAACGTTACCAAAAAAATATTACCGGCTTCCTTCTCAAGCTACGACTGATAACAGCGCGTATTAACACCAAACACACATACACAGCTCCGGACAATAAGTTAAACAACAACAACAACAAACCCACCCGACCCCTCGTACATTTCATTAATTAACACAACGATATTAAAAAAAAACTGGCGCGGTCTAATCGGCGCCTCAGGAACAAGGCCCGAGCGGCATCGAAACCGTAAAGACACCATCAACGGCATTCGTACAAACATTTAAGAGATTAAGTGGTTGCGGTGTTGCGAGGTATAAGAGGCTCGTTATTAACCGAGTGAAGACGGCGAGCTTGTTGTCTTTGTGTGTTCTGGTTTTGTTGCAGTTTACCGCTCGCTCGCTCGCTCGCCTTCTGGAACTTTCCCCCCGCGTCGTGCTTTCGGAACCGGATCCAGCACGAACACAAACCGCCTCCCACCCCGAGATCCGGTTCCTCAAGTCGTAATTATAATTTTTTTAAAAAAAAAATATGATAAATAATGCAGTTTTAAACACCCAAGTAGGCTTTCGCGACCAACATTGTCCATAAATAATAGAGGGCGGTTTTTTTGTTAGATAGCCTAAATATATAAACGTGTCGTTAAACCCGCCACCACCGGACACGGCCAGTTGGTAATGTTTTTAAGTGTCACGGTAACGGAACGTGGCAATTCGTAGCTAGAATGGAGAATTTTGAGACAGATGCCATCCAGACAAGGCCGTAATTACAGTAAAACCTTGGATTGCGAGCATAACTCTTTACGGAAACGTGTTTGTAATCCAAAGCACTCGTATATCAAAGCACTCGTGTATCAGTTGTGATGACGTGACGCTCGGCAGACAAAGCGTACTACACGTACACTACTCGTATTGCAAGACCCTAGCTCGTTTATCAAATTAATATTCATTTTAAAATGTTGCTCGTCTTGCAAAACACTCGCAGACCAAGTTACTCGCAATCCAAGGTTTTACTGTATTATATATATTGGGGGGGGGGGGGACACATTCCCCTACGATTGATACATCCCCAATATAAAAATATGCTCAAAATGTCGCCCCCAATATATTGCTATTAAAAAAATTGCTATGCTATGTATATAAAAACAACAATTAGCTAAACATTGGCCACAATATCTGGACTTGTCTTCATGTAAATCAATGCATAGATTTCTGTTTATATGATTGTGGTTATGGTTGTACCTTATTAATCCCTAATCTCTGCCATTACATACAATGAAACGAGAAATGGTAAAAAAGTAAAAACAGAGCAATGTAATACAATACACTATTAGACATTATTGTAAAAAAAAAAGTCCATACCACGTGTTAGTGAATTTTTTTTTATATTTTAGACAAGAAATTAGCTTTAAAATTTCGATATTTTTCTGGGTTGGGACCCCCAGACACCCTGGAAGATTTGGTCCCCCCCAATGTTGACTCCATGGCTACAGCCTTGCATCCAGACATCCACCCTACGTCCTTCCTTGTGGACGAGATACGTAGATGACACCTTCGTCATCTGGCCACATGGCCTGCCAGCACTGAAACAATTTCTCAACCACATCAATTCCATACACCATCTATCAAATTCACCATGGAAGTGGAAAAGGATGGCAAGCTACCATTCCTGGATGTTTTGATTGAGAAGAGACCTGATGGCTCGTTGGGACACTCTTGTCTACAGGAAAGCCACCCACACGGATGCCTGTCTAAAGCCTGACTCCCACCACCATCCAACCCAGAAGAATTATCTTATCAAAACACTACACCATAGGGCCCGTTGCATCTCCGACCAGCATCACCTAGCCAGTGAGCTGGAGCACGTACACCAAGCCCTCAGGATGAACAGATAATCTGACCGTACAATCCGCAAAGCTGTCTTACCGAAAGAACCAAGAAGATGAATCCCTGCAGTCACGAAAGCTTTAAATCGAAATTTGATCCCATCTGTAAAGAATGTTATTCCTGATATGCAATACCCGGGTGTCTACAAACTGAGTTGTGGCTGTGGCAGCAGTTACATTGGGGAAATGAAACGACATGTTTCGTACCGCGTTCGCGAACACAAGGCAGATCTGAAACATGGTAGGACCAATAGCTCTGCCGTTGCTGATCATTGTTTTAACGCAGTGGGCTCACACGAAATTGATTTTTCCAAGACGAAGGTACTCTGCAAACCCACCGGCTATTATCAGAGATTTGTTCATGAAGCCATCCAGATATATAATCACGGACACAATTTCAACCGAGAAGATGGATACAAACTGAGCAATCATTGGAAGGACGTTATTAACCAGGAAAAGTCTTATCTGACTGTGATGTCTCCATCCTACCTGCCCATGTCAGCTGTTATTTCCGACTCTGTCTTTCTTTCTCTCTCTGTGCTGCCCTGCTCCCCCTTCTCTCTTCCCCCCCTACTACCGAGGCCTACTATATAACCTCGTGCCACGGCAGATCTCTCGCCTACTTCAGCAGTTTTTCTTGCTGTGGTTGTCCCACCTGATGACGATTGCTTGTGTTGCGATCGAAATGTCGTGATCTGTTATTTTTCGACCTACGTGACTTTACCGAAAGACAAGCCAAAGTGGCTCGACTGTGTGCATGCAACCCAAACTATGGACCTTACCGTAAACCACCTTAAGTTTGCGCTCCTTCAACTGAGGAGGAACAGCAAAGCTATACGAACTCTAAACGTATCCTTTCACGGCCACATTATGATGCATGATTTATTTCGGTGAGGTGGTGTATAAATGCATTGTAAACCCTCCTCCACCCGACATAACTAATTAATACATGTCGTGTGATTCAATGTGCCAAATGTATTGCTGTTTCACGTTGGAGCAGTAATAAATAATTTACATTTATAAAGTACCCCATGTACCCCAAGACAAAAATACCTTTAAAAGAGCCTGCTTAGATTACATACCCTACGTTGTTCCCTGTATCTTCCTCCTTGATGATAAAAACACACCGTGAAGGTCATGTGACTTGTGGAATAACTTACGATTCCGTTTAATGATTTGTCTACAGTAACTGGGATTCGGTGATAACATTGAGTATTTAAATTACAGGAATACTGTATGGATGCACTTCTACGGCCGTCTGGAACGCTCCACCTTCCGATATTAGGAAGTCACTGAAGCTGTGGAACTTTTACACCTAAATTGAAAACGAATTTCCTTACCACGCACATCCGATTAGCACGCAAGTCAGTCAACCCCTTATCAGTGCCCTAGCTTATTACAGATCAATTAAGACCTTATTGATCACCCAGTGTCTTTATACATCTCAACGTTCATCCTACAAAGTCCCATCACAAAGGAGAAACACAAAAAAGAATCTTGTTTTTTTAATTACCTAATAGTTTTGTGTGTATATTCATACCTGCCAACCCCTTATCAGTGCCCTTACCTTATTACAGACCAATTTAAACCTTATCGGTCACCCCGTGCCCCTTATAAATCTCAACGTTCATCCAACAAAGTCCCATCACAAAGGACAAAACACAAAAAGGAATCTTGTTTTTTTTAAATTACCTAATAGTTTTGTGTGTATTCATACCTGCCAACCCCTTATCAGTGCCCTTACCTTATTACAGACCAATTTAGACCTTATTGGTCACCCCGTGCCCCTTATAAATCTCAACGTTCATCCAACAAAGTCCCATCACAAAGGAGAAACACAAATAAATAGACAATACATTTTTATTGCCCGTATCGAAACGGCTGTAACGCCGTATTGTAGCTGAAAACTCAATTTCCCTGTACACGAATGCGGGTAAAACCTTATGGGTTGACAGGTATGAGCACGGTTTGGCTAAGTAGGGTGCGAAAGAAGTTCAATATAGTACACACATTTAAAGCTTTCGTGGCTGCAGGGATTCATATTCTTGGTTATTTCGGTAGTCACGTAGAAGGGAAATAATAAAAAAATAAAATTCGCACGTTTCGATTGCAACACAAGCAATCATCATCAGGCGTGAAAACCACCTTTCGGTACGGGCAAAAAAAAAGTATCGTTTAATTGTATTTATTATTTTATGATTTCCCTTCTACGTGACTTTACCGAAAGAACCACGAATATATTGCCCCCAATTCGACAAGAGACCTTGTTTGATGAACGTTGAGATTTATAAGGGGCACGGAGGTCTGAATTGGTCTGTGATGAGGTCGGGCACTGATAAGGGGTTGACAGGTATGAGTTTAATTTTTATTTGAGTTTATACCGCTTCGTCCAGCAGTGGAGTGACAAATGGAGGCGCGCGCGTGCAAGCGTGGACTGAACAAAGAGAGCCGGGGGTGGTTGAGGGGGCGGGGCGGACGGGCGGGCAAGTGCCTGGGCGGGGCGACGTGTATGGGATAAAATTATTTTAAAACAAAACAAAATTACAACAGCATCAGTAACTTACAATTTATTAGGTCACAGCTTTGTGAAAACACATTCACTGTAATTTATGACTGCGCTAATAAAAAAAAATAGAGAATAACGTACCTCATTAGCATGTCATTATATCCGTGACGACTGCGCCCATCACGTGACCGCGCCTTCTTGAAAGTTCTACCGCCGGTCCGCCCGCTTCGCTCGCCGCTCTTCCCTTCAATCACCGAAGATGGTGGTGAGTTTTTGTGTCTGTGAGGACGCAAAATAACGCGCGGGTGTCGCCGAGTACACCTTAAGCCATCGTAACACGGTCGATTCGTCGCGATGCGTGCGCCGATACGGCCGGATGATCGCGGATTCTAAAACGGGTTCGCAGGCTGCAAGGTTGTGTCCCGTTGATGGCTTAAAAGCGGCCGGCCATTGTGCCCAGCGGCAACCTCGCTCGTTTTAATTGCGGTGGGTTGGGGTTCCACATTTTTTAACCGATGGATTTTAAAACAACAAAAATGTGTCTGCTCTGCGCGTCGGTGTAATAAACGGACCACTGTTATGGAGAAATTAGCGCGGGTGAGTTGTTTGTAAGGCGGCGAGGTTTAAAATGGCCGCGCGCGGTGGTGTACTGCGGAAGGCCGTGACGCCCATCTTAGGTGAGCACATGGCGATTAATCGATTACGGAGTATAGGTTATTATTAAGCTTTGTATTATATATGTGTGTTGAATGTCCGAATTTTTTTCTCAATGGGTTAAGGTTACAAATGATCTGGATACTTTGGTCTAAAATAAAAAAGAACCCATACGCCCAACACGGCCAAGCAAATGGTGTGTACGTGGTTTTACAAGCGTTTAACGTGGCGATTGTTATTTCGGCTTACGGCCGGCGGTAAGTAAAAAAAATAACAACCCATTTTCGCAACCAATAGTATCAATTCGACCCATCTATTCAAACTGCGCCAGGCATTTTTAAGGGCAGGAAGGAAGTAGCTGTGGCCCAACCTAACAGTTTGAGAATCGTAGGCTGTGAACGTCTAATTTATGCTTTGTTAAAACCCTGCCGTGCGTGGAAATATCGAACTGGGAACAGTCGAATTGTGTGGTTGCATTAAGAGATTACAGTTGCGTGTTTTT